CTCCATCATTTTTATCCTCCAGTAGGCGTACGCCAACAGCACCCCATATTTTTTTTTGTCTTTATTATTTTATAATAAAGACAAAAAAAAATTGCTACAGGAAGCCTGTACAGGCTCCTGTTGCTGCTACGACTAGCCCTTTGTAGCATTTTGTAGCAATTTTTATGCCTCAACTGCTGGTGCATGGCGCCAGGCCAAGGGGTAATAAAAATTGCTACAAAAAAAAATTAAGGGGGGTATAAAAATGATGGAGGAATGTACAAGTAGTTATCTCATCATATATTTAGTGCTGGCGGCCGCTTGCGCAGAATTTTTTGTTTTGTATTTTATCTTCCCAGCCCCTCACTACCCCCCCCCCCCCCCCCCCCCCCCCCCCCCGCCTCACTTTGTGTGGAACACGATGATTGTAACCTCAGTCTCCTATGAAGAACCTGCTAGCTACGCTGGATGACTTCTCTCACCACCTCCTGACGACCCTCGACATGCTCCGCGACACGCCCATCCACGGCTCCCTCCAGCCCCCCGGCGCCGAGCAGAGATACCTCTTCGACTTCATCGACACGTCCAGCGTCGACGAGCTCAACGCCTCGCTGCGCGCCTGCATCGACCGCACCAACGACGCGTCGTCGGCTCTCACCGACACGCTCGAGCACTTTGGCACCTCGATCAGGAACATCACGCAGTCGCTCGTCTCGACCAACGCGCCGACCGACCCGTCCCCGACCCCTTCGTCGTTCCTGGTCCTCGAGAACCACGCCACCGAGGCCGCGGCTCTGCTACAGTCTCTGGTGCGCCACTACGACCTCTGCGTGACGGCCATCAAGCACACGGAAGGCGGAAACGAGGCAGCCACGCGCGCAACGTCGGACGACCCGCTCCCGACGGAGCTCAACCACCCGCACCTGGACAACGTGGCGCTGGAGATAGACGTGGCGACGCTGGAGCCGGGCGAGGCGGCGCTGCCGCCGATGAGCGCGGCGGAGCGGGCCGACATGCTGGCCGTGCTGGTCAACGACGCGGTCGAGGTCGAGGACGTCGTGGCCGAGATCCACGAGCGCGTGTCGGACATGGAGGCGGTGCTGGGGGAGATGTCGGCGCACGTGGCGACGGTGCAGGGCACGTACGCGGGGGTGATGCACACGTTCAGGCTGCTCAAGGGCGCGGGCAACGACATCCCGACGCACATGTCGGCGTGCCGCGTGTTCCTGGCGCGGTGGGCCGACGAGCGCTCCAAGATCGAGCAGGGGGTGCTGGCGCTCGAGGGGCTCAAAGAGTTCTACGACGGCTTCCTGGATGCGTACGACGGGCTGCTGGTGGAGATCGGGCGGCGGCGCGACGTGCGCGTCAAGATGGAGGCGATAGCGCGCGAGGCGGTGCGCAAGATCAACCGGCTGTACGAAGGTGCGTGCATGCATGCGTCCCCGGTCCCCCTTTCCTCGTCACAGTCCCGAAAAAAGCCCCAGCACGCTAACTTGACTTAACCGCAGACGACGTGACGGCGCGCAACTCGTTCCACGCGACCCAGGGGGACCACCTGCCCTCGGACATCTGGCCAGGGCTCGTCGACCCGCCGCCGCGCTACAGCATCGCCATGTCGACGGCTGACCGGCGCGACGGACACGGCCACAGCCACGGCCATGGTCATGGTCATGGCGGCGAGAACGACGCCGGCGAGGAAGGCGCCGTGGGGCTCCGCGATATCAGCATCCCGCATTTGCCGGACGAGGTGATTGCGGCAGCGAGGAGGCGCATGGAGGCGAGGCGGTAGGCGGGTGGGGTTGAATGTGTTGGGTGTGCGGGATGGGTGAGGAGGGTTTTTGGTTTGTTCCCAGGTGACTGTCTGATTGTTTGAGTGATTGTTTGATTACATTTCCCGTGCATGGTGTTGGCGGCGCTGCTAGGAGTAGGCGAGGTGAGGTGCGATGGATCTTGTGTGGGTGGATTTTCCGAGGGGGTCGGCTGGTGTGGTCTTTGTTTTGATTTTGATTTCGGGTTTGGTTTTGGGTTTCGTTCCGATACCATGGGGCTGATTTTGCGAGTGCTTGGTTGCTTGCTTGGTTGCTTAAGAGGTGAGAGTTGAGAAGTGAGAGTTGGGGGTTCTCTCTTTCTCGCTTGCTTTCGTCCTCTCGGCGTAAGACGGACGGACGGACAGACGGGCAGACGTGGCTGTGGATACCAGCCAGGCTAGAGCTTTAGAGCTTGAGATAGAGAGCGACATAGAGCGATACACACAGAGGGAGAGGGACGGTTATGCTTGTTTGTTTGTTTGTTTGTTTGCTTCTTACGGAGCCAAGTAAGTTAGCTCTTTAAATAGGTACAGACATGGCATTCCATAACGCATAACATAACGTATCACGACCTCTAATCCTAATCCTTTTTTTTTTCCATCTATCCATCCATGCATCTATCTCCCTCCTTTTCCGTTTCCATAACCATAACCATATCCATTCACAATTCCAACTAACCAACTTTTGGGTATCCTAAAAACGCCCTTCCCCCCTCCCTCCATCCCATCACCCTCAACCTCCCATCTACCCTTCCCCTTCCCCCATCTATTTCTTCCGCCCACCCCCCGCAACAGCAACCGCCCGCTTCTTGACGTGCTTCGGAATCTTCGTCTTGCGCTTCTCGCGCTTCTCCTCCTTGACCGCAGCCTTGTGCGCGCGCTTCTCGTCCTTGTCCTCGAAGCGGCGGCCGCGCGGGCGGGCCGCCTCTTTCGCGGCGTAGCGCGCGGCGCGGGCCTCGGGGTCCTCGTTTTCGTCGTCGGCGTCGGCGTCGCTCGAGCTGTCGCTGTCTTCGTCCTCGTCGGAAGCGGAGCCGTCCTCGCCTGCTGCTGCTTTTCCGTCCGCGTCAGGCTGCTTCTTCTGCCCCGCCAGCAGCGCCTGGTACACGAGGCTGTCGGCGTGGCCGGCGCCCACGAGCGCCGCGTCCCGGTCCACGTCGTACACCTGGTCCAGCGTCTGGGGGATGTACTGTTTGCGGAAGACCTCGTTGTCGACCTCGTCGTCGGCGAGGGAGCCGTCGCCCTCGTGGGAGTCGCGCTCGTCCCACAGCTGCGCCAGGCGCGCCAGCATGCCCGGCATGTCGGTGGGCGCGTCGGGCGCGCACACAAACGCGTACACGGTCCGGTCCGGCAGGGGCGCGACGCCGCGGTGGCGGAAGAAGTCGCCGGCGTTCTTGATGTCGGTGCGCAGGAACTCGAGGGCGTGCGGGTGGTCGTGCTCGACCGACTGCGAGACGTCGATGATGCAGAGCTGGCGCTCGTGGTACAGGATGTTGTACTCGGAGAGATCGGCGTGCACGAGGCGGCACACCTGGTACATGGTGCGCATGTAAGCGAGCAGGGTGAAGTAGAGGTCGCGCCAGGCGAGCTCGGCCGCCGCAGCGTCGTCGCCGCAGCCCAGGTCGGGCGCGACGTCGCGCAGGCGCGGGGCCGGCCAGCCCTTGCGGTCGCCCAGGAACCCCATCACCAGCACGTGCTGCTGCAGGTGCAGCGGCTCCGGGCACGGGATGCCTGCCGCGTGTAAGCGCTTGAGGTTGCGCATTTCCTTCTCAGCCCACAGGCGCACCATGGCGCGGTTGCTGCCCTTGGCGTAGCCGCCGCGGAAGCGGAACTCGGAGGAGATGTACTTTTCGCGGTCCTTGAAGACGAGGATGGCTGTCTTGTAGATCTTGATGGCGCGGTGCTGGGGCGGCGAGGCGCCGTCGTCGTCGGGGATCTGCAGGGCGTGGTAGACGTTGGCCTCCTTGCCGGTCGAGACGCAGCCGTGGACTTCGGAGACGATGCCGCGGTTGATCATCTGCAGCAGGAGCATGCGGGTGCGAGGGTCGAGGACCTGCTCGCTGGTGGCGCGGTCGGCCTTGTCCTTGCCCGAGTCCTTGCCGCCGCCGCCGCCGCGCTCAAAGGCCGCATCGTCGTTGATGCGGATTTTGCTGGCGTGGGCGCTGAGCGACTTGATGCGGTCGTCGACGCTGACGCGCGTGTTCAGCGTCGCCTTCTTCTGGGCGTTGGTGCCGCGCTTCTCGGCCGCGGGCACGCTCTCGTCGTTGAGGCGGCGCTGCCGGTTGTACGACTTGGTATAGTCGTTTGGGTTGCCGGTGGCGAGCTGGTCGGCGGCAACGTCGTCGTCAGCCTCTTCGTCGTCGTCATGGTCGAATAAATCGTCGTAGTCCTCGTCGTCGTCATGGTTGTCGTCGGGGTATGTGACGCGCGTGTCGGGCAGGGCAACACCGCCGGCGGGATCGAAGTCGTAGCCGGCGTTGGGGGTGTAGGTGTGGGCGGGCTCGTGGGCTTGGGCGGGCGAGTCGTCGCGAAGGTCGGCCATGGTGGCGGCAACGAAGGGGAGAATAGGTAGAGAGAGAGAGCCAGTCGTCGAAGTCAGAGAAATTTCACGGCACTTTCGCGTCATGCAAGCAACTGTTCCCCGCGCTAAGCCCTGCACTAGCCAAGTTGGGCGGGCGGTGAGAGATGCGGTCGATGGCACACCTTGTTACAGCCTTGCAGCCTCACACTCGAGGCCACCTACCAGTGTCAGAACTAACAACCAAGACTAATCGTTGGCCCGTTCATATGGACAGATGGACAGACATGCGTCGATGGTTATTTACCTGGCGACTCGCTTGCGACGCCCAACCGTTGGCCTAGCGCTAAGCCTTGTCAGGGGGAGCCGCTAGAAAGTTGTAGCCCTACCCTCTTAAATTCGACTCTTTCGGCCCCAAAGATCGTCCTTCGATACGCAAAAAAAGATGCGCGCACCGACTTTCTCTCCTCCTTTGCGCTGGCCTTCACCCTCTCAGCTTCGTATCTGCCGGGGTCTGAAAACGACTTCAAACCGCGCTTGTCACAGCCCGTCCTTCGTTTCTTCCTCCAACCTCGGGGCTTAGACGAGGCTGCGTGTGCCTGCCTACATGTGCCGACTGCTCGTGTCAACTAGGTACCAACTACAGCCACCCGACGGGAGGCTTACGGCGACCGTGTAGTACTCCTCCGGTGTACAGCCATGACGGCCTTGAAGGATGGAGGATTGCGGGGATGGTGGGACCCCTGAAGGTGGGTCATTTGCCCTACTACTTGGCTCTTGCTCGTTGCGCAGTAAAGACCGCACGGCTGCCCGCTGGCCCATCTTTGCGCTGGCTCTCTCTCTCTCTCTCTCTCTCTCTCCTCTCCAGTCTTCTTCTTCTTCTTCTTTTTTCCTCTTCTTCTTCTTCCTCCTAGATCATGTCCCTCACGCTCTTTTCCTCCACGTTTTCGCTCTGCGCTTCGCTCTCCTTGTCGCTGTCCAAGTCCCGTCTTCTGCAATCAAGGTCTGTCGGCCCCTCCAGTCATAGGTACCTCATACGCCCCCAGCACCACTGCTGACCCGCGCCTGAAAGTGTCTGGTTCATATCTGCTTCAATCTCGATACTCACAAGCCGATATCTATTAATAGAAAACTACTATCGTGAGTTTTTCTCTTTCCGCCGACCCATCCCCGAAGCTTGCTGATCATCTTGCCAGACTATCGTAAGCGCTTTTTTTTTTTTGTCCCTCTGTCGTCGATGTCGCCGTCGCCGTTGCGAGCCCGCTGACTTTGAGAGCAAGCCTCGCACCTTTTGTTGTGGGCCCTGCTTGTCTGCTCGCTCGTCATACTCGCCAAATACGTCGTTAGCCCCAGCGACGGCTACCAGCGCATACCGGAATGGCTGCCCACGAATTCGGAGCACGATGATGAAGAAACAACGACGGGGCATGCCCTGCGCTCGCTGCCTGCCGCCATCTGTCTCGCCTTGTCGATACCCTTGACCATGCAGGCCGTGCTGCACTGGACTAATCTGCCGTCGTTGTTGATGATGCCCGTGAGTAGTACATGCCTAGGGCTTGCGCCACATTGTTGCCGGGAGCCGAAGCTGACGCCACGTCGCAGATAATCGCGTACTTCACCGACGTCACCCTCACGCCGTTCGTGACGCACTCGACGCTTAGCTGGACCAGCTTCCACCGCATGCCTCTGTTCTTCGTCGGCCTCGTGCTGTGCACCTACGTCGTCTACGACGAGTACCGGCTGACGACAGAGAACCTGCTGACGACGGTGCCGGCCATGGCCCTCGCGGGTGCGGCGACGGCCTTGGGCCGCAAGCCCGGCGCGGGCGCCGTCACGCGGCACCGGTACGGCTCGGTGCCGACGTACCGGCTCATGGGGCTGCCGCTGGCGCTGTTCTTCACGTTTGTGGGGTGCGTGTGGAAGGAGAGCACGTGGAGCGCCGCCGCGGACCTGGCCAACGTGGATCCCCTGCTGCTGGGCCTAAACGTGGGCAGCACCGTCGCAGCGCTGCTCATCGGGAGCTCGTTCCTCATCCCGGTGATGCTGGACGACACGGCGACGCCGTGCCGGGCGCACGTGTCGTGGCTGGCGCGCCTCGGGGCCAATTGCCTGCTGACGGCAGTCGTGGGCTGGGCGTCGACGTTCATCACGCTCGGCTCGTACGCCACCATCTCGCAGCTGCCGGCGTACTTCACGACGATGGGGTTGCTGTTCAGCCTGCAGCCGAGCGACGGGATGGGCGCCCACGGCAAGAAGGGCAAGCAGCGGGCGCATGTGGACGACGCCGAGGGGCTGCTGGGGCTGCAGCAGCTGGCGGAGCGCGCGGGCGGCGGCGGCGACGAGGAGTGCAGCCGCGAGGACGCGCAGCCCGACACGGCGGCGACGCAGTCGGTGCAGGACGCTAGCGTGTTCGGGGCGGCGCTGGTGGTCATGCTGGTGGCGTGGACGCTGTTCATCATCCGCAACTTCCAGCCCATGGCGGTGGGCACGCCGCCGGCGGCGCCGCCGCACCTGGACCTGGCGTACGAGCCTAGGCACGGCTTCGACGTCGTCATCAGCATGTACGAGGAGCCCATCTCGGCCGTCAACGCCATCATGGCGGGGCTCGCGGCGATCCCGGCCATCAACGCGTCGGCGCCGCGTCTCTTCCTCTACACCAAGGACGAGGCGCTGTCGGAGCCGGAGCTCGCGGCGCTGCAAGCGGCCACGAACGCGCACCGCGTGACGCAGCTGCCCAATGCCGGGCGCGAGGGCGCCACGTACCTGGAGCACATGGTGGGGCAGTGGGAGGGGCTGGCGCGGCACACGCTGTTCGCGCAGGCCGACGTGCACAACGAGGACGACTTCTTCCGGCGCGTCGAGCAGTACTTCGACCCCGTCGCGACGGGGATGCTGAGTCTGGGCTTCGCGGGGCACATGTGCGATACGCGGGATGCGGGCGCAGGGAACAAGAAGTGCGGCGACCGCTGGGGCTGGTACGAGGACGCGGCACTGCTGCGCGATCTTTGCTTGAGGGCGCAGCAGGGGGCGCAGCAGCATTCGCAGCAGCAGGAAGAGGAGGGAAACCACCAGCAGCAGCAGCAGCACGACGCCTCGGCCTCGGCCTGCGACCGCGTGCTCCTGACGTACAAAGGGCAGTTCATCGCATCCGCCGCGCGGATCCGAGCACCGGGGCAGGCGCTATACAAAGAACTGCGGACCGCGCTCCTCGACCGCGCGAGCTGGGCGCACCGGGAGCCGTACCTGTCCGGGCGGGCAGACTCGCTCAACGCGCCGCGGCTGGGGTATACGCTGGAGCGGGCGTGGGCGGCGCTGCTGCAGTGCGGCGAGGCGCGGATCGCGGGGCGGTGTCCGAGTCTGCTGAGCGGCATGGGCAGTGAAGGGGAGAAGGCGGACTGCGCGTGTTTGGATCCGGTCGAGGTCGTGGAGAAGGAGTATGATGAGCGGGAGTGATGGAGCGTGGTGTGTGGTGGTTGTTGGTTTGGTTTGGTGGTGGTGGTGGTGGTGGTGATGATACCCCTGGTGTTGGATGTTTGATTGTTTGATTGTTTGATTGATTGTTTGTATGTATGTATGTTGTGTAAGTAAGTAAGTACCTGCGATGGATAGACAGATAGATAGATAGATAGAAAGATAGACGTCGTTATCGTAAGTAGTCATTGTTATCATTGTCGTTGTCGTTGTCATAGTCGCACAGTGTCACGTTGCCTTGCGCCTTGCGGTACCTACTACATACATATGTAAAACAAGCAACTAGCGCAGCCAGTGGCGGGCGTCGTGGCGGTGGCGCATCTTAGCTCCCGACTCGCGATGGCGTGCAACGTGCGCTAGAGGACTCTACTCTAGCTCTCTGCGTAGCTCGGGCGCCCATGGGGTCCTGTGGGGCGCGGGGCGCGCGCGTGTGATCGGAGGCGTTTTTTTTTTTTACGATGGTGGCTGCTGTTGTACTTTTGTGATGGATGGTGATGGATGGTGTTGGGTTTATGGATTGGGGTTTTGGCGCTGTGGCTATGTACTTGGGTAGATGTCGGTGTAGATATATAGGCATGTATCTGGGTATGGCACGTCCAACAATGACTAGATAACAACGACGATGTAGCTAGCTTACTCGTAACGGCATAAAATAAACCGGAATTCTATTTCTAGCTTGGGGAAAAAGGGAGAAAGCAGAAAGTAGGACAAGAAGTCAAAGTCTGGAAAGAAGTCGAAGTTTCAAAAGTCGAAGAGGTTTTAAAAGGGAAAAAAGAAGAGCCATCCTCCCAATTACTCCGGCTTCTGCGCGCAGATCATGTACAGTGTATAATAAGCATGGACCTTGGGATCGCTGACGGCCGCTCTCGCCTTCGCAATCAGCACCTCGGCCTCCTCCTTCCGCCACCCCAGCCCCTTGCACAGCGGGCCGTTAATCGCCATCTGCATCGCGTCGATGACGGCGGCCTGCATGTACAGCCCGCACGTGCGCAGCAGCTTGTTCTTGGCCCACGGGCCCAGCGGCACCTTGATCTCGCGCACCGTCACGTCGCGGTAGCCCGCCTCGCGCAGCATGGCGGGGATCTTGCGCGGAATGCGCATGTCCACGTTGAAGGTCGACAGGCCCTGCGCTACCAGGTCCATGTACACCGCGTACGCCCAGTCGGGCGCCATTGTCATGTCGTCGCAGGCGGGGCTTGCGAGGTCGATTTCTTGGATTTCGAGGTATGCGCCGGGTTTGAGGTGGCTGTGTGGTGAGAGGGGGTGGTTAGTTGGTTGGTTGTTTGTTTGTTTGCGTCTTCTTTCTTTCTGGGTGTGTATGTGTGGAGGGGCTAGGTACGCACGTGTAGGCGGCGGCGAGGACGCCCGGCCAGTCTTTGATCGCGGGCGCCATGGCGCGGATGTGGATCAGGTCAAAGGGCGCCGAGTAGACCCATTCGCTCTCAATGTCGTCGACGAGGAAGCGCACTGCGAGGAAAGAAGAAGTTAGCTCTTGCTTGTTTGGTCGCGTGCCTTCCATATCCATCTCCACGTACCGTTCGGCGGAACCCAGGTCGGCTGGATGGGACTCAGGTCGACGCCTATGACTTCGGCGCTCGGGTAGGCGTCGCCCATGTCAATGCACCAGATGCCCGTTCCTATTCGCGGCGGGTCAGTTCAGGTCAAGCTTTGTGTAAGCGTGGGCGCGCGCTGAGTCTTCTCTCGCTCTCTTCCCGTCCATCTCTCAGTCTGTAGGTATGTGTGTGTGCCTCTCTCTCCCTCTCTCTGACAACAACAAAGTCTCTCCAGCACAGGTACTACTGCATGCATGTGTGTGCGCGCTCTTTTTCTCTCTCTCTCTCTATCTCCCCTGCGCGCCCGCGCCACACAGACAACACACCTCTCAGCCCGGCGGCAGCAGCGCATTACCTGTTCCGAGGTCGAGGATGCGCGAGGGATGCTCGCCAACGGGCGCAAAGAACAGCTTGTCGCCGCACACGGCAACGGTCATGGCGTGCTTCATGTCCTCGCGGTCCTGCTCGGCCTCGTCGTTGGGGAAGACGTAGCGGCCCTCGCAGAACTTGTGGTACCGGCGGCCGTTCTCGAAGGTGTAGTCGCGCACGCTGGACGAGACGGACGTGGTGACGCTGCCGTCGTCGCCGCCGCTCTCGAAGCCCGACTCGGCGTAGTCGGACGTGGCATCATCGTGGTCGTCGTTGGCCTCGATGTGGGTGCCAGCCTGGTTGGCGGCCTCGGCGATCTCGTCAGCCGCGTTGCCATCGTCTGCGGGCGGGGGAGGACTATCGTCAGCCATGGGGCGTGGATCGCGTCGATTCTTCTCTCACCGGCGCCGAGGATGGCGAGGCTGTGGGCGCGCATGGCCCGGAGGGGAGCAAGAGTTATTATAGATTGCGACGAGGGTGAGTGTGGGTCGTTGACGGGCGTTGCTGGAGGGGAAAAGGGCCCATGGGCTGCATGTCGCTCGCTCTCGATGCAGTGAAGGGTGGGGCCGGAGTTAACGCGTTACTAAACATCTCGCCTAACGTCTTCCGACATGGACATCACTCACTTCTTCCGTACTTTGACTACTTCGGACCTCCACGGATACGCCTTGCTATTTCCTACCTCCTCGCAAACCCGCTCACTCATTCTCACTCACCCTCACCTCGTTTCCATGGCTCGCCGCCGCTCGTGTGAGCTCGTAGTGCTCGTGTCCCTCGTCAGCAAGACCCTTTACTTTGCCATGACGACACGGATCCGTGATATAAATCTGACTGACCTTCACTGACACTGACACCTTCACAGCAACCGTCCGCATTCACCCTCCAGCTTTACATCACTCACTCACTCACTCACTTTCCAACCACCATGAAGTCACTTGCCCTCCTCTTCCTCTCCGGCCTCGCCGCCGCCGCTCCCCACCCGCACACCCTTCTCCTCCCCCGCCAGCAGAAGCAGATCCCCACCGGCACCTTCGGGCCCTACACGCTCGTCGTGAACGCGCACACCACGGCGCTCGACACGCTGCGGCTGAGCGCGCAGCACGGCCTCTTCACCATTAGCACCGCCTCGGCCGACACGGGCCCAACCACGCTCTGCAACCCCGCCGCCAGCAGTGGCGAGTGTCGCTACCCCAACAACGAAACCGCCGTCATCTACTCGACCGGCAGCGTGTACCTCGACGTGGACGGCGCGGGCGGCTCGCAGCAAGTCTACGTCGACACGGCCACGCACGCGCTGCGCTACACAGCCAAGGGCGAAGGAGCGCCCGACGCGAACTTCAGCCTGCGCGCGTACCCGGACCCGTTGATCCCCGGGTCGACGCCTGTGCTCGGCCACGTCCCGGGCGCCGACGACAACGTCTTCCCTGGCGGCGGGCTGGTGGCGTGCCCGCTGGTCGAGGGCAGAAAATGGCAGGTCTTTGCGTACGAGGCGGCGAGGCCGCCGGTGCGGCCGTGCTTGAGCTTCCTGGCGCAGGTGCATGCGTATGCGAGTCCGTTGGCTGGGGGCGGCGCCGCGGCGTATGCGTATGCTGCTGAGTAGGTGGGGGATGTGGAGACGAGACAGCTTGGTAGGCTGGGTGGGAGTCGGGCTTTTGAAATGCTGTTTTGGGGGGACACGACGAGCGACGAAGTGATGGATGAATGAGCGAATGAGCGAACGAACGAAGGAACGAACGAATGGACGAGCCAACACCAATCTTTTAATGGATGATAATGTCTACCTACCACCGTAGTTAATCACTGTCCTTTTAGTAAATACATACATACATACATACATATATATATAGGTAGTTCCTACAAACCAACAAGCACAAACAAACCCATACACCCAAACAAACTACCTAGGTACAAACCCAAGCAGCCCAGCACGTCCATCAGTAGGTTACATGGTAAATAAAACATCACATCACATCACACCAGCCCACCCCACCAAAACCAAAAAAAGAAAGAAAAAAGAAAAAGCAAGCAACACCCGGCCCCGGGCCCCGATCGGCCCCTCGCACCAAGAGCAGCGACACCTCCACACCGCCACGCGCTCTCGCCACAGTAGGCAAGCAGCTCCGTCGGCCGTCGCGGCTGTAGGTGGACGGCTCCACGGACTCTCGATCCGCGCCGATGTGTGCAGTACAGTGCAGTGCACTCGTGCTACGTAGGTGAGACCGAGAGGCGAGAAAGAGAGGCTGCCTTGCGGATATTGGCTTGGCTTGGCTTGACTTGGCTTGGCTTGGCTTGGTTTGTCCCCGGCCTCAGGGCAACCCTTGCCCTTGCTTTTCGTCGTGCAACCCCAGTTCCGAAGCTCACTCGCATACATGATCGGAAGGCATGCATGGACGGCAGGGCTAACGGCGCAACGCGCGCAGGCGCAACTTCCCCTCCCTCAGCAGCCACGTCCACAAGCCGACGAAGACGGCCACATCGACGAAGCCAAACACCAGCGCGCCGCCGACCATGGCCGAGCGGTAGGGCCAGGCGTCGGCGGGCGGGATGGGGATGCGCGTGACGGCGACGAGCCACGGCAGGGTCCAGCAGAAGGAGGCGACGAGGGAGTGGGCGAGGTAGAGCAGGGGCGTGGTGGCGAGGAGGATGGTGGCGAGTTGGGTGTGGAGGGCGTAGAGGATGTAGGTCCAGTCGATAGTCTGTGCGTGTTAGTAGTAGGACGTAGGGGTCGTATGTATAGGTAGGTGTATTCTACGTACCCTCCACATCTTGGCTGCGATGCGCGCCGCCTCCTCCGACGCAGACAGGTACAACGCGAAGCGCCTCGCGCCCGCCTCAGCCAGCGCCACGCACAAGGCCACCTCAAAGAGCAGCAGGACGAGACAGGCGACAAACGCGGGCCTGACAATGCGCGCGACGTCGCGCGTAGCGGCTCTGGGCTGCCGCTTTCCCACGCCCACGCCCACGCCCACGCGCCACGCCCCCCACTCGTGCCCGACCAACGCCAGCGACGTCGCTTCCAGCGCCTGCACCGGCACCATGACCAGCCCCTGCCGCATCGTCTTGAACACGCCCCACGCCGTCGCGTAGTCGGCCCCCATGGCTGCCATCTTGCTCACTAGCCACAGGCCCAGCGCGTTGCGCACGGCCGACTCGAGGAACGTCAGCGCGCCGGGACGGGCGAGCACTTTGAGCGCGGCCAGGGAGACGCCGCGCCCGCTCGTCGTCACATGTTGCGCCGCTGCCGCCTTGTTCATCCGCCGCAGCGCCCGCACATTGCCGAGCAGGAAGTAGGCGAGCCCGACGAGCCCAGCGCCCACATCGCACGCCAGCCGGACAGCCGCCTGCAGAGCGACCGTCGGCTCGCGGGCGCCGACACGGAACCGCGAGAGCAGCACCAAGTCCAGCAGGGCATTGAGCGCGACCCTAGCTCCGCTGCTCACGAGCGGGACGTCGGGCCTATCGAGCGCGCGCGAGCCCGCCGCAACCGCAACCTCGACGGCCGCCGCCAGGGCTGAGCACGCCGAGAGCCTTGCATAGGCCACAGACGCGGCATGGGCGTGGTGCGGCACGAACGCGCGCGCCGCAGCGACCAAGACGACGGAGACGGCGGCGCCCAGGACCGCTTGTGCCGCGACGAGCGTGTGCGCGAGCCCCAGCCGCTCGCGCAGCCCCCGTCCCGCGCGGTCGCCGATGACGAGCCAGGCGGCGCGGGGGAGGCCGTCGTTCAGCGCGGCGGCGACGGCGCCCATGTACGTGTACGCGTGGATGGTGGCGACGAGGGAGGCGTCGTCGATGCGCGCGACCCAGAGCTTGCTGAGGGTGGCGTAGAGGGCGGGGAGGGCGAAGGCGGCGGCGTTGAAGAGCGCCGCGCCCGCGTATCTGGTGTTGCGTGAGGGAATGCGCGGCGGTTGGGTTGGAGAGGCGCGGTTCTACGTGCTCACCGGCGGCGGCTCCATGCTTTCTCTTTCTTCTCCTCCTCCCCCTCCTCGTTTGGGCGCAGGCTTGCATCGTCTTCGTGCCCGTGGACGAGCGTACTCGCAGTCCCGTCTTCAAAGCGCGAGGATGCCGTAGCTGCATCACTCGTCCCAATAAAGACGATGCCTTTCGGAATATTCTTCATAGCGGCGGTGCAGACGGGCCAATTGGCTAAAACAAGTTAGGCAGGGTGCAGACAAGAGACGGACAGACAGCACCAACAAAGCAAAGAAAAGCTGCAGTACAGATGATCAATGTCAGGACGAGGTAGGTGGAAGCTGGCGGCTGCTGTTCTGTGTGATGTAAATCTACAGGGAAAGGCGGGGTCGCCAAGCCACCGCACAATCAACCCAAAGAAGCCCCGCCAGTAGACGGGTAGTCTGAACGCCTCCAAAAGTGTTTTTCTAATACACGTGATTAAAAAAGAAAAAAGGGAGAAAACTTTTAAAAGCTTCGCGGTTGTAACGTGACGATTGAGCCGTGGGCAGGTAATTATTCGTAGATAGAGCTCCTTTTCTTTTCCTTCTTTTACTTTTCTGACCAGTACCAGCCTGAGCTCCGACGTCTTTTTTCTTTCTTCGTTTTTCTTCTCGTAAGCATCAGAACCATCCCCACATTACATCTCTTGCGGGGGGAAATAGACGGGCAATCGGACAAAAACGGCCTAGTTGAAGACGACGGTCTTGTGGCCGTTGAGGATGACGCGGTGCTCGGCGGTCCACTTGACGGCGGCGGCCAGGACCTGGCTCTCGACGTTGGAGCCCTCCTGGGTCAGCTCCTTGGGGCTCATCGAGTGGTCGACGCGGACGACGCGCTGCTCGATGATAGGGCCCTCGTCAAGGTCGGCGGTAACGAAATGGGCCGTGGCGCCGATGATCTTGACGCCGCGCTCGTAGGCCTGGTGGTAGGGCTTGGCGCCCTTGAACGACGGCAAGAAGCTGTGGTGGATGTTGATGATCTTGCCCGACATGGCGGAGCACAGGCCGGGGCTCAGGACCTGCATGTAGCGGGCCAGCACGACCAGGTCGATGTTGTTCTCGGCAATCAGGTCCAGGATCTGCTTTTCCTGCTGCAGCTTGGTGTCGGCGGAGACGGGCAGGTGGTGGAAGGGGATCTTGTAGCTCTCGGCCAGCGGCTTGAAGTCCGGGTGGTTGGAGACGATCAGCGGCACCTCGATGGGCAGCTGGTTGGTCGACTGGCGGAACAGCAGGTCGTTGAGGCAGTGGCCGATCTTGGAGACCATGATGAGCACGCGCGGCTTCTTGGCCACAGGCCGCAGCTGCAGGTCCAGCTTGAGGTCGGCGACGGGCTCGGCAAACAGCCCTGTCAGCTGCGCCGTATCCAGCTTGGCCGATGCCTCGTCGTGCCCGCCAAAGTGCACCCGCATGAAGAAGCGCTCCGACGTCGGGTCGAAGAACTGCTGCGAGTCGAGGATGTTGAGGTTGTTCTTGGCCAGCACCCCCGTCACCGCGTGCACGATGCCCGGCCGGTCGTGGCACGACAGCGTGAGGATGTGGTCATTCGGCTTGCCGGCCGCCATTGCGAAGGTGCGCTGCTGAAGCTGCTGGCGGAAGAAGAAAGTCTGCTGCTGCTGTTTCCCAAGAGGCGCCGCCGCTTGGAGCCTCGGTGCTGATGCCGCTGCTACTGCTGGTGCGCGTTGCGAGAATAAAGGCCGGGCAGTTCGGAGCAGGAAAGTCATTGGACTGCAACAAGGGAAAAAGCAACACACACACAAAAACACGCGCGGAAACGTTGGGAGGGAGGGGGAACAAGCTTTTTTTGCGTTGTTTGCGTTCTTTTGCCTCCAGATCGAAAAATCTCAGATTTCGGGGCACGTGGCCTCTCCCCGCTAGTGAGTTTCGTCGCGCTCCGGCCCGTCGTCGATTATTAAGTCGAGGCCTCTCCCGTTCTTTTCTCCTTTGATGAAACCCGCTCGCGTCTCGTCGACTGGCGTGACATCTGGCCGCTTGCTTTTTTACGTGTGCGGGTCGCGCGACTGGATCATCCCGCGTGCGAACGGGTCGATCTGCCCGATGTCGGCAGGCGGGAGGGCAGCAAATCCATCGGAGGAATTCCGCTCTCTTTGACTTCCGAAGCTCTTGAGGATGGCATCCGTTGAGAGTGTGTCTGGTCTGGTAGTCGATGTAGTTTTTGCTGCTCCGAGGATGGAGAAGATTTAGAGAGAAAATACGAGCTCGGCTGAGCCTGCAGCTGCCTTCGCTCACCTCCACCGCCCGACATCCGCTGTTCCTGCCCGTCACACGCAAAAAACACCCAACACCGCAAAAAAGAATCAAGCTTCTAGCTGCGAATGGTTTCGATCCATTGTCCTCCGGGTTATGAGCCCGGCGCGCTTCCGCTGCGCCACGCAGCTTTTTCAATGCTTGAATGACTCTCTTTTTGCGCTTTTTACCTATATACTTACCCAATAGCTACCAGCCCTCGGCCCTTTTCTTATATTGACACGGACGTCAGTCAACTCTCCCAGGTCTTCTTTGATTGGCCGTCGTTGCTCTACAAAGTTGAGGCGTTTCTTCCTGTCTCAACTGCAATGCTCAGGTACAAAAAAAGCTTCGACGCATGTCCAAGGTCCGCAGTCTTGGATGCCGTGTTTAAATCGAGCTTCTCGTCTGCTAGACCTCCTTAAATTCACTCAACCAGGAATCCGTGCAGACAATCTGGCAAGCATATCTTTTCCATAGTATCACGGACCAAAACAAAAGTTCCCTTTCACATTTATGTCTCTAGCAAACATGGCGCGTAATAAACCAGAATTTTCTCACTTTCAAGACTTTTTTACTTCCGGGGAACAAACTATCCGTTATGTTGATAACAATATTTATACGGACATAGACGCCACCCTTACTACCAATAGCGACTTAGATGTTTTCGGGTTCCGTCTTGTGCCTGTGAAGGGGTTAGTTATCGCTCATATTCTTCGAGGTATGTATGCATACCAGGGTCGCCCAGAGGTTTCTTCTGCTAGGATTGAGTTCTTTGCATCCAGTTCCGAATAACAGGGAAAATCACAACTGTGCGCAATTCCCATGGAAAGGGTAGTTCGATTGCAGTTGCGACACGAAATTGTACCGCACCCCGTGCAAGCTACATAAAGGCATGATAGATGCGGCCCTGAGCCACATTGACAACAATACCAGGCGTCACTTAGAGCAGTGTGCGGTCGAAGAGTTTGGTATGTGGTGAGACAGCCGCTGTGGGTATCCATTGGCACAACAATTGGACAAGTTGACTGTACGGAAGCAGATTGGTTGTGGAAAAGACGATTTGCAGACGGTTCATGAAAAGATTCGTCGTCCGTGTGACGGCTTTATAATACAGGTAGGTTGGGCAGGAACGCATCAACTAATGCGCCACAATCTCATCGGGTGGTTCTGCATCTTCCTTGTGCTTGAGTCGCCTCCAATTACGAATAGCCGCAGCATGCCGTGCGACCAGTGACCACAGCATATGAGATGATTGGCCGTGTTTCTCATCCACAAGTTGCCCGCTTCGCAATTGCGAATAAGCACGTTGCGAGAAGTCAGGTATGCGAATTTGGAAATAAATAAAAAAACATAGATAAACTGAACATGTTTCCTTCCTCGTAAGACCCTCATCCCTTATTGTTATCATCTGCCTTTTGGCCAACCATTTACATGAGCCTTTCCATCAGTTATACTATCCCGCCTTTTATGTGCTGTAAAGAACCCCGCACAACCGGGACACTTGCCTCAGCCACGCCATTCTAGTCCGACGTCTTCTCAGCCGGAGAACCCCGCAACGCACTCAACATCACCATGTCCACTCACCAGGCCTCAATTCAAGATCAACCAGTCTATTCGAGAAAAAACGAACATGATTCTGCGGTCAGCTTCGCAAAACTCACTAACCCTTTGACAGCACATCTGTCAAGCACACGACAGGGAATACTGTGCCCTTTGTACCTTAGAAACCCTCATTTACCTCCTAGATTTGATGTGTGTTGGAAGAATACCTTCTTCAATGCGGCAGAACTGGGGTGGTGTTGCTCCAACATCTTTTACTATATTACTAGGCTAACTATCTGAGGCAGACTTCACATCGAGCACGACCATGGCTTCAAGCTAGGTCCAATTCCTAACGGCCTTACTGAGCGCGAGCAATTTGAGTATATTTGGGTGAAGGTTTTTCCAGGAGATCAGGGGAATGTGCCATCTGCCTGTAGGTGGTACGGCTGACTCGATGACATGCAAAGCTGATGGTAATACCACCTCGTCAGTTAACTGGGACCAAGACAGGTTGCGAAGACAGCACAATATTCGTGTTGTTAAGACACATGATCAGTACATCAAGAACAAACTGATGTCCTATGAGATGGTTTCACGAGAAACCTTGGAGGGTATTCTCGGGTCATTTCGCAGAGACCATGCAGCACTACTTCTTCCCGTAACCAGTAAGTCCGAAACCAATTTAGCAGACTGCAGCATTATGTAACATTGTGCCCAAGACTTTGCTACGCAGTGGGATACAACTCGACCAGAGATCCCCAGTTCTCGAGTCTCGAATGACAAAGCTCCAAATACGAAGAGGCCAGATGTTGAAGAGACCGAGGAAACTACACACCTCGAATCAAGAGGACTTGATTCGGCTGAACAGCTTATAGAAGTTGTGAAGAGGGCCCTGTCTCCAATGAAACGCGACATCGTCAACCGCTTCATGAACAATATCAAAGAGTTCTCTGAGACTTCCCGAGACCTTGAATACGAAGACGAACAGGATGACACGCCTGAGAGCAACGTTACAGACCAACCCGAGTCTACCGAGCAAGATGTCGAGGAAAGCACTGAAAGTCCTGAAGACGCGGATGAGCGACAAAGCCAATCTAGGGATGGTTCAAATGGGAATGTGCAGTCTTCGTCAACATCAGGTTCCGGGTCGGCGAATCTGAACGAAAAGGGCGGCAAAAGATCTTCGAGCTCGAGCGGAAACAATGAGCGTAATGGCGAGAAGCGTCGTAGATCGAAGAATACGGATACAAGCGAAAAAGACAGATCACCCCGGAAGCTTGCATGTCCATATTCGAAGCATGAATCTGCCACGCCTTGCACGAATGTATCGTGCCTTTTCCCAGGATTTTCGAATGTGTCGCGCGTCAAGTAAGTTTTTATATTAGAAGACTTAGACATACGGGAACTGATATTACCGATTCAGGGAACATCTCTACCGGGTACATGCTCCGCTAATAAAATGCTTACGCTGCTGCGAAGTGTTTGCCAACCAGTCAAGCCTGAGAGACCACGCTAGGGCTGAAAACCAGTGTCCACGGCGGCAAGACGAATCCACTACTAACAAAATGACGCCTGAACAGGAGCAACAACTCAAGTCCAGAAAGAAAACGAACGATAGCGAAGAGGAGAAATGGAGACAAGTTTACCGTATTTTGTTTGATGGTGACATTCCTAATCCATGTACGGCACTAATTTCCTGGTGTACTTTTCTATTTTATTACCAGCAAGCTAACCAATCAAACAGACTGCGATCAAACTTCGCTGAACTTCAAATTCTTTTCCCGCTTCGAGCTGTACAGCCATGCTAGGCTACCTACCCTCGTTCAAGCAAAGGTCGAAAGAATAGTAGACGAAGAAATCGAGGCTAGATTGAAGCGCCAGCTCGTTGAGATTCTCCAAAACTGCTTGAAAGAGCTCTTTGTCTCCTTCAAGAAGTCCGAGCAAGGAAGAGCCAACGAGGAACTTGAGGAGAATCTTATGGATGAAAAAGGAAAAGACACTTCTTATGAGGAATCTGAAGCAAACTCAATCGAAAACCATACGGAACCAGAAGTGGCCTCAGAGTATACCCTCGATGCGTTGAACATGCCAAGTCTCTTGGATCTGGATTTGGATGAGACGGCCTTTTACTGGCTATAGGAAGATACGGAGGAGGACTTATAAAATTCATAGCTTTATTTCGCTCGCACCTTAGAGTGCTATCGTACGTAAAAATATCCGTCCGATTCTTGTATATCCTTTGCTTTTTGATTCCGACAACGAACTTGCCAAGTGTTTGCTACTTGACATACTAGATTCTGAAGTCTATTATAACAACTGCTAATGATATAAACTAGGGTATCTAGTAGCGCTAGTAATAGTATTATTATCACTGTGAAGAAATATCAAAAGGCTGAACACAAAATGTAAAGTTTTAGACTATAGTACCTGATTAATCTCGAGTAATCTAGATGCTTTAGACGTTGAGGTGTGATCCAATAGCTATGATGTTGTCGCTTGAATTCCCTGTCCAGTTTTTTGTTTTCTCTCTACAGAATTACAGAGCTCTCTAAAGTACTCTCGTGACCCACGTTGACCTGTTGTAACTGCATGATCATCTGACCTTACTCCTGCTGGAACAGATAAATCGAAGTCTTTGTACATGCAATGTTCGTGTCTGGAAGAATCGAACTTGATCATTCTAATTGAAACACACTGTCCCTTTGAGGGCCTGTAGCACTGGACCAGTTTCAGCATCGGTGATGTCTGTATTTCGAGTTCTGTCAACCCACCTCAGTAGAATTCAACAAATGAGCCGTAAGATATCAACCAAGATATCTCTGTTTTTATATAGCTCTCCCAATCAATATCCAAGCCTGCCTCTTTTGCGACCACGTGCGAGCGAACAAGGTGGTTCCAACACAACTTAAGATAATCCCTGAGGCGCTCCAAGTTTCCTGGATTCAAAGGGTCGACGCCCTCTTCCTTGAGCTTTGTGCTGTCCTCAAAGTAACTGAACTCACGCCCAAAGAACTCGCGGTGGGGAATGGCCCACGTGTCTTGTTCCCTGCCTTCGGTGCAGCCCTTGAGCATCCGGCGACAACCCTCCATATCGCGATAGTCTCGCTGGAAGTCTTTGCCGCCGCCCTCTGACCCCTCCGGCATCCACAGCTGCGGCCTGGTGTATACCAGATTGAGAAAAAGATACGCCGTGAGGGCCGTCTGGAAAAGATTACGCCAGCCGGGATCGGCACCCATATATTGCAGCACGCGCTGCAAAGGTCTGCTTTTTAATTTGGCAAGCCTGAGGAGTGGCTCGATTTCGTTGGTGGCAATCAAAGCCATGACAATCCCAGCGCGCCTATCTGAGACCGTGTCGAAAGGATCTTTCCAGCCACGTCCCGTGCGCTGGCCGTCAATATCATCGCCTCTTGGTTCTCCATATGGTGATTCGAAGTACGCGTAGACTTTGCGCACAGCCTCGTCTCCAAAGATCGGGGTATCGTCATCGTCGTCGTCGTCTTCGATAGTCACTTCCGGGTACTTGCGCCGCTCGCTCTCCGAGAACTCTTCCAGCGTGCGCAAGAAGACGCGCACAAAATGCATGCGCTTCTTCTCCGCCGCTTCGCCGGGGATAGCTTCGAAAACCGTGTGCCGCTCTGATGTTCCACGAGGTCCGACTTTTGCGAGTTTGTAGGAGGAGGCTAACGCCTCCCAGGGGATGTTGTGTGCTTGGTGCGCCATGTCTTGTACGTACAGCCACCAAAAATTGTAAGCTTGAAGGATGGATGTTGAAGGGGTGAAGTGTTTACACGTTGTCTGAAGAGTCATTTATATAGAGTCATACATATAGTCAATCGGGCCTTTAGAGAGGGGTTTGTTCGTATCAGGGTGTCAGGCATCAAAGGCGGGGAAGCTCCGGGTCGGAGGTTAGCTAGCAAATCCAGCCAGTTCCCTAAGCAACATTTTGTAGTTAGCAAGTGTTATACGTTACTACTATTCCTAGGCTACTATTTTAGCTAGGAAATATTATTATTAAAAAGCCTTTTAAAGTTCTTCTTATGTTACTTATTATCTTTAAGTTTTTTTTTAAAAATCTTCGCTAATAGACTATTACTACTATTTAATAAAATTTAATAGCTACGCTTACTAGATTCTTTAATAGTAAATAGGGGCTACTACGGTAGGGTATTTACTAATACTTTAAAGAGTAAAAATATAAGTATATACTATAGAATAAAGTATAAGTATTTTCTAAAAGTATTAGTGTAAGTATAAGTTTAAGTATTTAAATTTTTAAAAGTGTAAGTATAGAATAGTATATAAAATAAGTACTAGGTTTAGTAAAGGTATACTCTAAGTATTAGTATAAATATTAGTATCTAATAAGTATTAGATTATATAAAAGTTATTTTTTTTTAGCCTAAATCTTCTATATTTTAAATAATAAAGGATGTAATAGGTATATAATAAGTATAAGTATTACTATAAATAGAAGTAGTATATACTTATTTACTTAAGTATAATACTTATTAGATACTAATACTTATTATATAATACTTATATTATAATACTATAAGAAATTAACTACTTATAGTATAAGTATTTAAGTAAAAAGTATTAGTATATACTAATACTCCTCCTATAATACTAATACCGTAGTAGCCCCTAATAGTAAATCTATACTTCTACTTAGGATAACGTTTATACTATATAGAAGGCTAATAGTACCTCTACTATACGCGCAGAAATATAGTCTTTAATAAGTTAAGTATATTTCTATCTATAATTATACTATTTAAAGAAATTACTATATTCGGGCTTAGGTAGTAGAGATACCTAGTAGTAGATTTATATAATCTTCGTAAGCAAACTCCGTACGCTGCGGCGACGACTGTATTCTGCTAGCACTTACCTAATTAGACAGGCGGCGATGGTGAGGGGTTGGTACGATTATCCTGCGCCCGCACTAAATGCTGACTGCTGCTACCCCTCACCTCGACCTTATAAGAGTTACAGGCGCCCTCTAGCCTACTCGATGAAAGTCCCGAGGCTCTTCAATGTCTGCGGTACTGTACACCTGCCTTTAAACAGTAAACATAATATACTGACTCTTTTTCTAATCCAGAAACTTAGCAAACAGTCACCGCTCCAAAACGACCGCTACGAGCCCATACGCCGAGCAAAAGAGCAGTGGGATACACATAAGCTTTATTGTATTGTTTGCGGACTCGGAGGCGAATGGATTGATAGAATTTCAGTTTGGGGGATCAAAAATGATCGTCAGCTGTTTACCTGCTTGCGGGAAAGATATCCCGTACGGGGTTTCTACATCATATCATCGATAGATTTCGTCCGGGTAGCTGATTTGCATTTCTTGCCAGAAGTTCAGGCGCCATCAGTGCTAACAAAAGCTACAGGTTAGTATCAACGCACACGTAATTCGTATCCACGACCACAATGAATGCCAATCTGGCAACTGTTCTTGCCTTCCAGAGAAGCGCGGCTCCGGTATACGTCTTGGCTATATCCTTAACAAGCCCTTCCTATCACAAGGTTTTCCACCAATTGATCCAAAGTTGATGGTTCAGCATCTGAGCACCCAGATCGTATTCCAAAGGAGCAAACTTTAATTCTTCGGCAAATGCCTATATCCGGCTCATTTGTTCCAAACCAAGATGATGACTGGGGAATAGCAATTCGTTACGACATTACCTATGCACACCTTTGGACGGTAGCAACCGCAGTCCTTGGATTTACAGTCTCTTTTATCCTATTATGTATTGCAGTAGCTTACAACGAGGGCATGGCCCTACTGATGTTACCTTTCATCTCGATAATGCTGGTTCCAACTCTCCCAAGCGATATTGCTACACTTGTCCGAGATCTTCACAGGAAATTCCTATGCCTCTTTTATGGGCTAAGGCGATGCCTAAAGTCAACAATATCGGGCCTATCCTGGATTTCGATATCTTCCTGGCTGTTCGGTTCTGCGATCCCTACATCCTTAGTCGTACCGTGGAGGGAACATTTGGCAGATATAGGTTTGGTGGAAAAGCCGAATCCTGTTGGAACCAAACGCATCCCTTGGACTTGCGTAAGTAGTGAATTTTGATTCTCGTAATTCTCCAGGACATACTAAAATTAGAAAAGGGGTGCGGTAAAATGCTTTATAGTGACTGCTGGTGGTCAGAGATGCTTCGGAAATGAAATAATTCTCAAGCTGTCTCTGAAGGCTAGCCAAAGCAGTCGCATTTCCACGACAAAGGTAGCACTTACAGTTGGTCTAGCTGCCGATCCTCGGCAATTTCGCTAGGGACATTCCTTAGTGGCCACTTGCCTTTCATAAACAAAAAAAGTGTACCGGATCTTCCTGTACACAACACCAGAGATCCCACTGGTATCACCTTAAACTCTACCCAGGGCGGACAAAATCACGGGATACAGCAGTTATTCCTCCTCATATGCGCTCCAACCACAGGGACCTGCAAACGGCTCGTTCAAGAAGAAGTTGGCGATATCCGCACTGACCGAGACTTATTCTTGAAGTTGCAAAAGACAGTTGCGCGTCACATTAAACCATGGTCCTCCTGGCGCTTTCTACGGAAACTGTCGAGCGTTGAGTTTGTACAAGTAAGATCAACTACCTGCACGCACTGCCCTGAAACTGACAAAGATAAATTGCAGATCACACTGATGGCAGGCGCCTCTCAAAAAACCGGTGTTAGCCAACACTTACACTGTAAATACACGCCCTGTCAATGCTTACCACTGCACGATGATCCGGATTACAAGTATACACCCGACCCGGAGAAACAGTTTCCACCTGTGCCTCACCCATTACTCTTGGAATGCCTATTGCACCCAGGCTTGATTCAGGAAGACCAGACCTGGGTTTACGATGCACTTCCGAAGAAACTCCATAAAGAGCTAAACCCGGAGCTTCAAAAGAAATCGAGGGGCTGGGGTATTTGCCTCAACGAAGGCCTTGACTGGAACAGAATATGGGCGCTTTTGCTGGTAATACTGGGGACTTGTATTCTTGGCGTAACTATTTGCTCGGCGATAACTGGTGATTGGCAAAGCTCTTGGACGGTTGCAGGTACTTGTTTTACAGCTTTGACTGGGTCGTTGGGATTTTTTGCTACGCTGTAAAATATGTTTTATGCGGTGATGAATGGGATTTATTCTAGCTCATAAATCATAAACGGCGAAGGTCAAACCTATTCTCTATAGTGTTAAACAACATTCACGCTCAAGCATAATTGGAATAGCGGAAGCATTTATCAACTAATGAACCTTATTAATCGCCGTGCCGCTTCTCTCCCTCTAGAATCAGGAAGGTGTATATGTATACGTTTCAGTATTTGTATATATATAGGGCCTGAACAAAACTCATTATAAGAAGTATAGTCATAATCACGTTTAAAAAAGAAAGGCAATACTTAGCCGGTTCCAGTTCTTTATTTGATTTGAACCTACGGCTTTACTAGGCAAGTAATTGCGACCTGCAAGACGTGATATCCCTACCACCAGAACTCACACACTACATAAAAGCAAGAAAGTCACTATCAGCAGGAAACAGCCAGCAGTAAGCATGCGCAGAAAAAATTAAAAGCAAAGACGCATAACCCGCCACTACTCATTCCCGCTATTCGCAATATTCGTGCAATAAAAGCTACCGAGCCCATCGATGTACTCATTGACATCCGCTATCTCCCCACTGAGTGTCACATGGGCCCTGTCTTTCGTATCGCCATTGGTTTTACAATCCTCTACCCCGGAACTGTACACACATGATCAGCACCTTGCACGATACACGACAAGCAGCAGCAGCCACCATTACAAAAAACGAAACAGGCAAGACGTACGCATAGAAATGGCAAGTGCCCTGAAATGGGGCGAAATCCTTCGTCTTGCCAAACAAGCCCCGCTGCCAGAGCTTTCTCCCGATCTTGAGCGACCCGATTTCTTCGAGGCCCGACGCATAATAGGCGCAGCATTTATTGAGGGGGATGGGGGTGACGGGGATGACGTTCATGCCTAAGGCTTCATGGCCAGTGAAGTCTTTCTCGGGGTGAAATTCGATTTCTACTTTCTCGATCCACTTGTCGTTTCTGTATGGATCGCCCGAAACATCGTCTCCCAGATTTCCTATGAGGTCTTGCCTCTTGGTGCGTTTTCCGGGGGCCACGAACGTATCACGGTTGGGCGAGGTAGTGATGTTGATGCGCGAGGGCGAGATCGTCGGGGTGAAGCGTTGGGGCAAAGAGGCCACAAAGGGGAGGCTTGTAGCCACGAAAAGTCCAAGGTGTGAGAGCTTCATTGTGAGTGTTACGCCTGCAAGCTCAAGTGCTGTTAGCTTGGTGGTAAAGATGAAGAAGAAGCTCGGTTTGATTTTTTAGAGAAAATGGCCATGAGGCGGGGGATTTATGGTTGAGATTAATGCACCGTGGAGTCATGAACGGTAGATCAGAGTGGATGCAGCTATTGGCAGTGATGTAAGAGAGTACACAAGGTGTGCGACGATCCAAAACACTTACAGTATAGAACCACGCATCTGAACCAAGCTACCACGGATACTAATTCGACTGAAAGCCTAACACGGCCTAGAATTTTGCCTTACTATCCGCCGGTTATACTAATTATAGACAAGTTGTCACCTAACACACGAATAAATATTAAAAAAGCCCTCCATCTACCGCCGCTAAGCTCTAACCTGTACCACAGCATCTACGGCCGCCTACGCCTTCTGCATATACTGCTTCCATGGCTTTTTGGTCAGTGCATGACTGTATGTGTAGGTCAAGGCTATTATAATAATCACGGGTTTTCGGGTCTGGAATGGGCCGGGTCCCATTTCTTTCTTTTATATCTGCAGAGTTAGCATAATCAGGTCTAGTGCACACTGCTTTTTCCAGTTCGAAGACGTAATGATATACTACTGAGTTCACGAGCCACTGATGTCGACGGTAATAAGGTTCACATAGTCGCATAAAGAGTATAGTGGGACAACAAAGTTGACTTGGCATCGCTTACCCTTAGACCTCGCTGTAGTCAGTATCAGATGCTTCCCTCGTCGCGTATGCATATGTCGACGACATGTTTCACACCAAGGGTTATTTCATCAGCTGCTTCTCTTCAGCCACTTTCTTCAGCCGCCGTAATCGCTTCCACATGTTTGCCATTCCCCTGCGACGACAATTCTGCTTTCGACGCTTGTATTTCCTTTGTCGGCATAGCTATCGTCTTATTTGCTACCGCAAGGCAAGCTGCATAACCCAGGGCAGGGAATCCTGGAAGCGAAGCTGGGTTGCAAGGCGAATGTGCATGAACCACCGAACGGGCAATCGTCACGCAGTGATCACTCTGGTCCTAGTATACTAATTAGGCAACTCTTGACGTTGCCAACATGCCTCGTTCTCTTATATTGTCAAAAGGCAACAGCGTACCCTTGCCGTTTATCCTTTACTTACTCAACGCACAAAGCCACTGACAATTCGTGGCGTTCATTTGCTTCTTGCCGCATAGCCCAGACGCTCCAATGAACATCAGTAAGAGAGGCGCACTAGATTCTAGTCTGGCTTTTCTAGCGCCTGGCCCAACAGTCTCAGAGATCGCCGCACGCGGAGGAGCACGGAAACGAAAACAACTAGACAGGCCAGAAAGCCGCTCCCTCAAGTGTACAAGGAGAAGGGTCTAGCTATAAAAGCCCACTGAAAGACTTTGCTCTCGTCAGCCAGCACAGGAAGAACAGGACGTACGCACGGCAAGCCGGCATGAAGCTGACATACCTCAGCATCAGTGGCTCATGAATATTCAGCACGCACCATCTCTTCGCCTTTCGGCTTCCCAGCCCCATGTCATAAGTCAAACGCTCCCCACAAGAACAAGAAAAGAGCAACCAAACCAAACCAAACCCCCGTACTCCGTACAGCGGCCTCAGGAAGCATTCCCAAAAAGCCGACCAAGAAGCACGCGTGCGAAGTAGGTCACCAACAAATACATCACCTTTAAACGTAGAGTAGAGAGTAGAGAGGAGGAGAACAGAACAAGCAAGACAGGCAGACAGACCGTGACGAGATGCAGTCGCTTAAAAAAAACAGAGAGCCCTTGCATAGCAAGGGGGCCCGACTAGTCGGGCCGACTTTAAAAACAAAAAAAAAAAAAAAAAAAAAAACAAGTCACCACTCACCAGCCATGGCTAAGCCGAATAAACACCAAACTGGACCAGCAAACAAGCTGAAAGAAAGTACCACGCACGCGTTTCGCAGTTTGCAAACAGAATAGGAATAAGTATGCCCTGCACTCTCCACAGGTACAATCAATGCTTAATGTAAACGGACAGCGCGACGCTAACAATCATCAATTTTGCGGCAGCACTCTCAAGCATTTCTACTCATAACAGCCAAACAAACAAACAACGCAGCTCTCATAGCCACGCCGCATCCTCTTCTCTCTTCTTCTGACAAACCCCTAACCCCCACTCAACCCAAACCAATCACATCAATCAGTCAGTCCCTCAGTTCCTCTTCTTCTCGCCCTGCGCCCCCCTCACAGGCGCACTATAAAGCCACAGCGCGACAAAGCCCACCCAACCGGCAACCGTGACGCCAATGCCGCCAACCCAGGGCCACGCACCGCTGATGCGCCACGAGCGGGGCCACTCGTCGTGGGCGAAATGGCGCACCGTCACCTCGCGCTTCTCGTCGACCGTCGTCAGGAACGGCCGCTTGTAGTTGACACGGAAGTTGAAGATGCCGTGCTGGTCCGGCGTCGTGAACTGCGTCGCGAAGATGGTGCTGTCGGCGCCCGCCACCGCCGGCAGCGCCGCCAGCGTCAGCCGGTGGAACGGCGACAGCATGCTGAATTCCAGCTGCAATGCGTCGGCAGACTCCGGGTGGAAGGGGACGAGGCGGTCGGTGTCCCACTCGGAGATCTCTATCTCAAAGGCCTGCGGAGTGTGTTAACTGGATTTTGCCTACAAGCTAGTCTATGGCGTGTTGTTGTACGTACCACCTTGTTCTTAATGCGGTAGATCGAGGGGTTGTGCTCCGCGGCGCCGACAGCCGTCTCATTGAGGCCGAGGTGTTGAGCGCTCTCGTCCTCGCTGAGCCAATGCCGCAGGCGACCGACCTTCAGCACGCCCTTCTCCTTGAAGGTCCACGCAGTGAGCTGCGCCGCGAACTCGCGGTTAGCCGTCTTCTCCTCCTCGCCGGAGGCGGCGTTCTTGACCGTCGTGTCGAACCACTTGTCCTGCAGCATCTCGGCCGAGCCCAGAACCGCGAAGCGGGCGCTATTGCGGGCCTGGAAAGCGGTCACGAGACTGAGCTGCGAGCCGATGCCGAAGGGGTCTTCTGCGGCAGCCTCGGCGTCCGCGTCCTTGGGGTTGTGCGTGTAGGCGGTGCTGGGGGCGCGCAGGATGGGCGCGAGCAGCGGCGAGGCGTTGGCCAGTAGCTGGCCCATGGCGCGAGGAACGGCGACGACGCCATCACCGGCGAAGAAGTTGCGCACGCCGGGCTTGAGGGCCTGCGGGCGCGGGACGAGCACGACGTCGTGGGCTTCCGAGGCCGAGTTGGCGTCGTGGGCGAAGTGGTCGAGGACGAGCGACGTCTTGTCCGGGCCGAGGTGGATGTCGAGCTCGAGGAGCGTGCTCTGCACCGCCGCGGAGACGGTCTGGCCGCCGGCCAGCGCGAGCATGACGTTGCCGTCCTTGTTGAGGAAGTCGAGGACGAGCTGCGGCGACAGGGCCGGGCCGTAGCCCTTGCTCTTGGGCGGGAGGAGGAGGACGTGGTCGTAGGCGCGCTCGCCATGCTTGAACAGCGACAGCGATTCAGACTTGGGCGAGGCGAAATCGAGGGAGAAGCCGCGGGCTGGGAGAATTGGCGTCAGCAATTGCAATTGGAGAGGATCAAATCAATGGTGAGATATGTACAGGTCAGGTCGGCCCAGAAGAGCGAATACTTGTCCTTGTCGGCCAACTCCTCGAGCACAACCAGCGTGCGGGGGCCGGAGAAGCTGAGGGCGCTCGCAAGGCCCAGCAAGGCCAGGCAAGCCAGCGAAAGCAACCAACGCATCGTCTCGAATTGGGGGAAGAGTAGCTAGACGATGAGTTTGGAGAGCTTCGGCTTGAGCTGTGGCATACGTGGATGCGTAAGGGACCGCGCACGCCGCGCCAAGCCGGGCCCGAGCTCCTCCCTCCGGCGGAGAATCCAAACCTCCGCCCGCTGCCAACCTACGTCTACCTACCTACCCGTCTATACCTACCCAGTCCCAAGCCATTGATTACCCACCCACCCACCTCCACCACCACCATGTCCGCCCCCCGCTTCTGGTCTACCCCCTTGCGCTACATGCGCTGGGTCTCGCACGAGAAGCCCGCCGTCTTCTACAGCTTCGTCGTCGGCTTCATGGGCCCGGCCATTGTCGTCGCCGCCCCGCCCTTCCGCCGCCTCATTGGCGACGACCCGCGCCCGGAGATCCCCATGACCTACCCCAGTGAGTGACACGCCTCAATGGCTCTGCCCCGTCTCGATGCGGCGGCTGACGTCTTCCCCCCGCAGTCCCCAAGGGCCCCCGCGTTATCCCCGAGGGTTATGACGACTAAGCGACTCCCTCCTGCGCGCACGCCGCCCGGCTCTCTGGCCTCGGTGTATATATGCGAGCGCGTGAATTGGTGTGCGGTGGAGTGACTACCCGAGCTTGGACGGGATCGTGTGAATGAGCGGGCGGGAGAGGGGCCGGCAGACAACTCGGAAAACACGCTGGGCGGATGCGCCTGCGTGGTCAGAAACACAATACGAAAAGAATTGGGGAGAGATGAATGCATGGAAGGTGTGGAAGGAGGCGCGATGCGATGTACATACGTGTATGCGCAATAGACGGGAGCTGGCCGGACGAAGACAAGAGCCCTGCGGCTGCAGCGGAAGGGCGCAGCATAGGGTTCAATCTCATGGTTTTTCTTTTTTGCTTCGCTTTGCTCACCTTGCTCGCGGTTTGCTACTCGCGGTTTGTTACTTGCGTCTTTGTCCTGCTACCTGTTGGGAGACGACGCGTCCCGCCCCGTTCATTCAATTGCTCCTCTGTGCACTTATTTCCTGCATTTCCATCCACCTATCCATCCCACCATCACCGTCTCTCCATCTACCAGTCTGGTCTGCTATAAAAAAAGAAAACTAACTTTTAATTAATTTTAACTACTCGATAACCTTATTTTTTTTTTTTTTTTTTTTTTT